GCCTACCAGTAAATACTACCTCTCAACAAGCGGCAATTCTCTAAACATTTTATTCGAACATTATCATACAAAATACGTTCTGCTTTCAGTTAGTAAAGATCTGATACAAAAAAATTAAAAAGATCGATGGAAAAACTTTGACGTTTTGCTGAAATCGTCCATCTAGAAAACACTCATTTGCAAATCAATTCGGTTTTCACGAAAGACTCAACTGAATCTCTCGTTCCTGATATTCTACAACTGAATGTGATTCAGTTGGCACGATATTTGAGATATCGCAGTATGTTTTCCAAAAGGAAACTACTCACAAGGTTGCTAAAAAGTCTTCGACAATTAATAGTTTGACAATCATAGTTCAAGTGTATGCAGCGCTGTGCCCCTTCAGTAGCCAGCCCACATTCAGAAGCTTTTTGCCTAGCTTTGATCCGTATAAGACTTTCCAATTAGAAAGCAAACAATGGTGCCTGACCACATTCGTGGTAGGATGACACCTTATCAGTGAAAACGACCCCTTACAACGTACGGGATGATAATTCCTGAGAAGCAACTGTTTCATCGTGGCTGGGACTCATCAGGATAATGTAACGAGATCGATCTGGTGCGCCGTTTACCGCAAGGTGACGCAGCAACTAACTTTATACTTACCCTCATCCGATCCAACATCAATGATTATCAGATTCTTCAGAGAATTGACCAAATTACGAATAACACTTGAGTGCTCCGTAGTAGTCACGATTTCCGACAAATTTCGACGTATGAGCTAAACCGACAAGTCAAGTTAAAGACTACTCATGTTCAAAAGTTGTCGTACAGGATTATGCTAGTAAAAAACAACCGTGACCGCGTTCTGAACTGTCTTAAACGGTCAGCCCTTGCTTACAACCTGCAGAATATCGTATCTTTATTGAAGTTAACTCGGATTTCTAAATTTTTAAACAGATTCGGCATTTCCGATCCTTGGGTTCTCATAACGTTTCCGAATGACCTTGTCCGCGAGCCAAACCCACCCTCGCGTTAGTGATCCAACGAGGCGAACAACCTCACAGAATTCGGGTACTATACCTCTTCGGATGTACTACTTTGAATGGATCGCCTATTTACTCAGGGCGGATGGCGAACGTTGTTTGTGTACGACCCTCTTGATGGAGATCTTTGTTGGGAGTAGGTTTTTGCGAAAGACCGGGTCACTTGATATGTCAAGTTGTTTTATCCTCGTGAGGAATAGGTTATGAATGAGCGATGGCCTCGTCGAAAAGTAAGAAGTTGCAGAACCCGTGCTTCAGATGTACGCTTTTCAACTGACGGTGGTAGAACGCTTCGAAGTAACTCATGATCAACCTATCGACCTTGTTTCGATCATAGCCCTCATCTCACTTGGATCTAGGTGACAACGAAAATTCAGAGAGACTTGCCTCCAGGATGCGGTCCACGTGATCCCCTTTGTACCTGGTTGGAGACGCTGAAAGTTATGCCTGCTAATCGATGTCAATGGTGTTGCCGTCATTTTCTACCCAGACTACCTCAATTTGTATCTGGAGGTTTGGACACCTCGGAATGATTGTCACAAGCTTGCACTCAACTTTTCCCCCGTCCACTTTTCTGCATTGTCCTACAGGCAACAAACCATTCGACTTGAGTGTACCCGCGGCACGTCTAATGTGCGTTTGAACACGTATCTTTCATTCATTCGTGCTTCGGTTTTGTCTTACAAATTTCGAATGCTATCATTGCTAACTAAAATGCCGTACCATGTTGATCGAGTGGGACCAACAGCGAATTGTGGTGGGCGGTACCGTAAAAGCATGTCTGATGTTCACAGGTTCCATCCAATCCACGCTAGACCTCGTGAGATTTGCGGTACTGGTCGCCTTGGTGAGAGTGCTTAGGCCTTTCAGCGTCTCTCGGCCTCTCAACCCTTGTTGCCGTGAACCACACACTGGATTCCTGACTGCCATTCTGATCGTTTTTAGCGGCTGCTCATCTTCAGAATTATTAGCATTACTAAGTTTTGGGCTCGAAGTTTCGTGTGCAAATGCCAGCAATGAAACAAGGTCACTATTCATGTTACCATTCCATGTTGTTCCCCTCATCCATCGGTTCTCGCTGGACACCGAAACGGTTGCATTGAGTACGAGATTAATATTCAAAACAAGTCAGCTGTGTGTGGCCTTATCTCACTGGAAACATTCTTGGATTTCATTGAGCCACCGGACGATCGACAGAGGACTGGTGCGACACAGATATTGAAATATGACTGGCCGCTCAATCAACATTAACACCCTAATCAGAGTATCTGTTAACTCCAAAACTGATCGGTTCAGCTTGCCGAGCGAGCGTCCATTATCCACTCTCGTCACATGAGTCTTCCGACAACAGGAGCAAATGAATATAGTCTAACAATAATTTCTATTATCCACTTTTTACTTTCGAACGACCATTCCCTTGGACAGGCTTTGTGGGCTTCTCGAATGCACAGTGCCCAGGTACATCGATCGACCACCAAATCTGTGCAAACCGTAACCCATTGTGGGTTTTCACCCAGGAATGACCAGTGTCCTTGAGCTCAACACCCTGCAATTAGAGGATATTTGACGCTGCACCTGATTTCCGCCCGTTTTTTTTCTTTGCTTTAGACGCAACATCCCCATCAGCAGCAATTCGCGATCAAGCTGCATCTCCAAAAGATGGGGTGAAGTTCGAACTGAAAGATACCTCATCTGAAACGGAAACAATAACTCCATTTGCCAATACGTATCTGAACCACGCCCGATACACACAAACTCTGGTCCCACTGCAGACAATCGCCTACCCCGATTTACTCGGGGCTTCGTATGCTCCTTATGTTGAACCGTTTTACAATAGAATTTCGGATGTACTCTCCGGAGCGGACAGTTTAATTTCCAGTGGAATTGGAGCAGCTGAAGAGAACGGACTCAGTTGTCAGGATGCAAGCGAATCCACTCAATCTCATCTGGGAACGGACTCGAGCCTTGAGGGTGCGTCACTCGGAAGTTAACCCGTATCAGCATATTTACCGCTGTTCAAATTGCACTTCGCCTCATGTTTTCGCTAATTTCAAAAACCTTAAGCGGTGTATTTGATCACTCACGTCTTTTTGTTTAGTCCCCATTGGCTACCACCTTGCCCGTCAGTTTGGGTTGAACCAATCAGAAGCGCCGACCAAGCTCAGAATCAGCTTTGTAATTACGCATTCTACCAGCGTTGTGTAATGAGCTCAAATTTCTACAACCCACTGCAGTCTTGTAGTATCTTCAAACCGTAATTTTAACAATTTGTCTCCTCTGTTTCCATTTTAGACCCGCCAAGTTCTGTTCATTTACAAATCCCTTCTGTAGACACTGGTCGGAAAGGTCTTTCGAAGTCACTGTTAGACCATCGGCCAAATAGTATGAAGATAAGCGGAGGGCGACGTTCTTCGACAGGCACAACTAGCGTATCCCAGTCCCCGCGCTCTAGTGCTTCGCGTCGAATCTCAAAGAGTACTGGTAACCTACAAAAACTTTCCCTAGTTGAACGCCCTCCTCCTCGACTACCGTACAGTCTGACTGGTCTTCCACACGTGGAGATTTTGGATGATGTTCGGCGCCTTATAGATCCAGATGACTTGCTCAACCGCACCGTGTTCGATCTGGACGACCTCATATTGACTGCGATGCGAGAGTCCACGAATCCCCAACAGCCGCAGCCACCTCAATATGTGGAATTCCAACCCCGATCAAACTCCCCACGTGCTCACCAGCTATTTCCGCACCAACCCGTTGTGAAAACGCACGGCTCCGAGTCTGATGTGGCGACTGTTGCTGGAACTAGTCCGTCTCTGTTGGCAAATGCACAGTCCAGTTCGTCCGTATGTGCCTCTTCTGACCCATCTGTTTATCGATCTCCACTGGCTGCGTCAAATATTCTGTCACCTACACCGGTTCGTTGCTCTACCTCTAATAGTCAACATTATTCCTCTGTATGTGTCTATGGGCCAGAGCTGGAATTGTCTGGTTCCCATGTGGACTGTGCCATGACCAATGAGGATGAGACACAGTAAGTGGTAGTCTCCCTTTCATCTGTTGAATTTATCCTACGATTTACGTTTGTAGTTTGCAACCAGGTGGGTTCATCTAGGCCTCATCTGTTCGTCGCTGTAACATCCAGCCATATCCCCTCCTCGCTATCCAGTTACTCATAAGATATTACTTCCCATGAAAAAAACGTGCTTCATCCTTGCGAATTTACTGATCGGAAGGTCCGTGGTTCGAACCCGACCTCTGCCTCTCGACTTCCTTTGTCAAGTCTTTGGTAGTACCCCAGCCCTCGTGCTTCCTTCGAGTGGCATGGCAGCTATGCACCAGAAGGGGGTTACAGCTGAGCGATTTTTAACATGATCAGTTGCTGGGTCCATGTGAGCATTTGCGCGTATGTTGTAGCATGGCCCACCAGTCATAATTTACAGTAGATAGGAAATATTGCGCTTCGAACTTCTAGCCATAAAAGCCGTCTCGAAGAGACTGGACCTTATCGTGGTTTGTGCACGGCTTGCGTACCTCAGTAACCCATTGAGCTATGCTCATGCAACATCCACGTAGTCTCCCTTATGAAATCGGTTGATACACAAAGGTCAGGAAAACGCGATCTTGTGGTCATTCAGGTTGGATTGGAAGAAGCATGGCGATTGGTTCCTTAAAATTTGAGTTGCTCACTCAGCCTCACGCCCAACACCACTGCCAGCACACCGGCCAAATCCTTCGGTTAAAGATGCTGGTGGTCCTTCTATCTATGTTTGGTCGCCATGGAAGTATCTCAATCCGCGCAACATGGGCCCGGGTACCTTATTCGCCCTTAACTCTCAACCAGTTCCACGTGAAAATCACCCTAATATGAACCACAACCGCAGGCACCGCAGTTGGGCAGTTGATATTGCTCACATTTATCGCTTGGCGTCTTCCATTCCTGGCTCGTTCTCCCACTTTCATCGTAGCGTTTAATGTGAATGATCCTAGATAGATCGATCAATAGGCAGCCACTTCACGTACTCCGAAACGTGAATACGGGATCACGGTAAATTAGCTGAGCCTACGCTGCAGACCACAAACTTCCAGTGATCTTGCAGCTGCTGCAGTGAGTCGCACCTGTGTTGGTATAGTCTCAATTTCGCGAGCTGGCACTTTGTTACTCGACTAGTCACCTCTACAACTCTCTACGATGATAAAAACGCTTCGCTGGTCGAGATAGTGAATGCTTTTTGTCGTGTACATTTATTCACCAACGAACTCTATATCTGATTAACTGAAAGACATCTTCTATCAAGGACTGACCGTCCTCTTGTCTGCCGCGAAGTGCTGGTCATTGTAGGACGCTTCAGTTCTTGAGAAACACGCCTTGAAGGTGTGTTAAGCACCAAACTCAGCTGCGCTGGTCACTGCCGTCTTCCTGGATGGGGACCCCGAGACGGGCCACATCAATGGCTAGAGACATTATCAGACATGTCCCAGTCGCGCCCTCAATGGCGCTCGTGCATCTGCATCCCCCCTTTTCCAACCCCCCCCCCACACTTGACATCCCACTGACAGTGCTGGATTTATACACCAAACTATCAGCTCCCGCCTGCAATGCGCAGCTACCTACCCCTCTCCCCCCAAATAATCGGTGAACGAAACTGCGGCAGCTACAACCACTGTAGGATGAGTACGCGGTTATTACAGCTGACGAAGATGATTATGTTTAGTCTGGATGCAGTGATAACGGTGAACGTATTTCGCAACTTTGTCCTGATCACCAATCGTTTCTCAACAGCACTGGGTTTAGACAAATTGGGTGCCGTCCCCCTACAGCTGAGCACTCTTGGAGTCAAACACTGATGGCATGTTTTCGTCCTTGGCCGCCTACCGTTTTGGAGTACACAGGTTGGTCCATATAACCCCCTTCCACAGAGCGAGCTTCTCGTTTAGAAGTGGAAAAGTTTTGAGAACCGCAAGTTATAGAAACATACCAAAGCGTACAGTGTGCAGTGCATTACATACAGTCTCCTCGGAAGACATCGATCATAACTGAGATGGCATAACCATAGCTGTATGTGATGCCGCGACTGTGCTTGTGCTATTCTTGAGCGCATAGACGGATCTCAGAACAGCCACTATCAATTCTGATGCAGTACGTTCTCTCCCTTCCGAATCTGTCGATTAGAGGACAGCTCAAAGCTAACCGACTATTGCTTCCCCAGTGAGGTCTCATGACAGCTGCGTGAGCAACGCTCGCTCATGCATACGCCATCAAGGCGTGAACAAAGTCTGCTAGTTTCCTTCATTTGTGGTGTCGGGAATAAATTTCATTGAAACATTGCGTGCGTATACAACACCATTGCAAGTGAACTCTTATTTGATGGGTGCCCAGACTCGCCGCACCAACCTGCAGACCCTAAACCTTATCAAAATTGTAATTAACGGAGCCTTTTTACTATAGTGATCGTTCGGTAACTGTTTCGCAAGCGAGTACGAATCAGAACAGCAGGAGAAACAAACCTTGTTGCCTTCGTTTTCTCGAAAATTATCTAGGACCTGAGTTTTTTTCAGCATGCCCAAGCAAGCAGTGGGTGCGTCCAAGTTGATGTGCGAAAAAGGACCGAAATGCCTCCAGTGAATATCTCGGTCGTCAGGTGGTCGTATTAATAATACGGACAAAATAGTGTTCACATGCGACAGAAAACTGATAAACACTCCGTGGACTTGTAGTGCATCGATGCAAAAGCAGGTCATCCGCTGCATTCCCCATCTGGCTAAAAGTATCTCAGTTTTTGTCGTAAAGTTCTGCCTCAGAGAGTCATTGACCCCATAACGAGAGCATTATGGCTCAGTCACAATCCGCTTTCTCATAGCTTGTGCACCCTAGAGCTTTCATCAAGAGCCAGATTTTGGCCAGTCGCGATGATACACCATGTACGATATGAAGAGTATATGCTTTCTTAAAACGGAGCACTATACGTGGAATGAGTAATACTTGAAGGCGGCGTGCCAGCATACTAATCGCCACCTCTTCGACGACGTTTTGTAGAAATCCCGATGTTAGGCCAACTTTTCAGGCTCAGTGTCTCAAACGTTCGGTCGGGCTTAATGTCACGGCTTTCAAGCCTGATTTCCGCCACCTTTCTGTTACTCTCATCTTCCAGAATCAACCACTTTGATATGGAAAAGGGTCATCTGGAATTCGAATCGCGATTCGAATCAGGAAATCTTCGGAAGGCGATACAGGTAAGCCGGGATCGGCCAGTATGGTATTCCTCGGGTTTAACTTCAGACATGTGTTGGCACCCTGATGACCGTCTCCGGTGAAACAAATTAATTATTCCATTGTTCGTTTGTTCGATTGATTGATTGATTGAGTATCCACCTGGCGAAACGGCGGTCCTGTTCATCACGCGAATTCCATCCTCTCTTCATGGAGTATGTCGTCGGGTCCGGTACTTTTCTACGCTGCACGGATTCTGACCTAAGGAGATATATATTGTACCAGGTCGTATTAGGCTTCTCCTATGAGATGCGGGTGCGGTGAAGTGGTCAACACCAGGCCACGTGACTTGGAGTGCCTTGTTGAATAATGTGTGTTACTACATAAAGGAAACTACTCACAAGGTTGATGAAAGCTCTTCGACAGCCCACGACCGGTTTCGCCCTCCCACTTCGGGCTCATCAGGTAGGCGCAGTCCCCGAGTTTCCACCGTCAACCTTATGTTCTACTTGAACTCAAGTTGGACTGTTTTCGAGAAATACACTCATTTGCAAAGCAGCAACCTTGTGAGTAGTTTTCTTTATGAAAATATACTTCGATCTCTCGAATATCGTGCCAACTGAAACATGAGGCGACCTGTGTGCAGCACATTCAGTTGTAGAATATCATAAACGAGAGATTCAGTTGTTACTACACCCTGTCTGCGTGCGAGATATTCACATTGCCGACCAACTACTCTTAGCTCTGGTGTGAAGTGCTCCGCTTCTACCTGAAATTTTGCAGTTTCTAATCTCCTGATTGTTCCGTGCGATGCGCAGTTTTTCCTCGCTCGACACACGTCGACTGTAATTCCGGGCTTTTCAACAAGAAGGATTGAAACTGTGGATTGCTTTGCCAGGTATTGAGCCACCGCTGGATAGGGATTATCACTTTGCGCGATAGGCTTGCTTAGTCGGACGCCTTTAAACAATTACGTCGATGTCCTTTTTGTAGGGGACCCAGCTGATTGGTTCTCTCTTTTCTAATTGTTCGTGTTCGAATCCCACACCAGTTCTACACAAGAAGAACACTCAACCAATCAATGCGAGTTGCTAAATTGTCACTAAATTATACGTTGCCCAACGTGGTTACTACTTTCCACAGGACTAGGGACCAACTGTTCTGATGTTTCCTGATATGAACAATTCGTGACAACTTTATTCTACTATTTAAAGTACCAAACAAGGGAATGTCCTTTCATTTGGCAAACGACTGCTCCTGATTGCCAGGATGTTTATGAGGCATATCCTCTCTGCCGCTCAGTTTTCAGCATTTCAAAAACTACTGTACAGTCGCGTGGTGTGTTGCACGCTGCTTCCAACACGCTCCTTGCAAACCAATCCACTGCGCTTTGATTCTGATGGTCGGTTTGTCTGTCACTTACAGTGAGAACTCAGCACTCAGTGGGATTTACGTACTGTCAGTTCTTGGAATCGGTTGCTAGGCGTTTCCTTTTCAGTCCGATCACTTTCTTGCATACGGTATCAGCCGTACCACTGTTCTGTTCTGAGTCTTATTCTCTGTCCTCACCTAAGGAACAAACTAAACTGACGTATTTGTGAACCACTTATCGTTATGATTACTTGTGAGTAGTGGCCTGCCAGCCATACTCACTCTTGCGAACAGCTCTCCTCCTTCCCTGGTCCCACTATCTTGGTTTGAGCACTGTACTCGAGGTTCGTTACTCTGGGTCTTGCGAACAGCTCTCCTCCTTCCCTGGTCCCACTATCTTGGTTTGAGCACTGTACTCGAGGTTCGTTGTTGACTCTGGGTCTTGACGCCCAATGTCCCATGATCTCCAACCTCTATTGCTTCAGTGCAGACATCACCTGTCTGCTTTTAGTCCATCTTCCTCTCGTTATGATTACTTGTGAGTAGTGGCGCAACTGCCATACTCACTCTTGCGAACAGCTCTCCTCCTTCCCTGGTCCTACTATCATGGTTGGCCAGTACTCGAGGTCCGCGTGAATACACGAAAACCCCTTCGTTGTTGACTCCGGGCCTTGACGCCCAATGCCCCATCATCTCCGACCTCTATTGCTTCCATGCAGGTATCACCTGTCTGTTTTTAGTTCATCTCTCTGACTTTCACGCGGAACTCCCCAAAACAGCCAGGGTGCTACTGCTGAACGAAAGAAAAATCCGTGCGCTTAAAAATGGAATGTGGTAGTATAATCAGGTTTTTGGATAGTGTGTGTGGCGGGCAATTCTGATCAAGACTTTATCGTTATATCGGCACATAGTTGGCCGGACGAGTATAACATAACCACAGCTTTCAGGTTCCGAGATTGTGTGGCAGTAGAACTGGACGCGCGTGAATAAGGGTGAGGCGAAACATTCATCCTCACACCATCCCCTTTTCCGCTCCAATTCGCAACTACCCTAGCTGGTCCTAGCAAAACGAACATGCGTAAGCCCGTCAGCATTTTGAGCCTACACCGTAAATTTCAAGGTCAAACCAAGTGTCATGGAACTTTCACCAGCATGGGTGAGATTGTAGTTTTTATTTTTGTCACAGGTAGCAGCGAAGACATTATTGGCAACAACAACAACAAGGGAGGCTCCCATGCAGGCCTCCTTCGCCTAAATCGTTCATCTGAGTCGTAACATATGGTGTCTTGGAGCTAAATGCAGTAAAGGATGCTTAGATACTTTGCTGATGCCCCCTGATTCAATCTACTAAATCCCCTCTTCTGTTCTCCCTCAAACCAGGTCCGTCAGTACGAATACGATTTGATTCTCAGTCCGGATGTGAATACAATTTCGAATTTGCAATGGTTCTATTTTCGTGTGTCAAACGTCGAGGCAGATGTGGACTATCGCTTCAACATTATCAATTGTGAAAAGCCCAGCAGCCAGTTCACATCGGGTAAGGGGTTGCTTCAGTCGTATTGACTCATTATTGTCAGTGTTCTAGTTGTGACGTAATTAAGTTGATTATCAGAATGTGGTAAGCACCAACAAATGTCTGGCTTACTAGAATGTACTGGGTGCACTTGACAAAAATAAATACAATGCGAAAAGTGGAATAAGCCAAAAGGTGACGTATCGTTTGAGGACACTTGTTGAGAGTTCCTGAGTGAAGTTCCGGACGCGGGACGTGTCTTCTCTGCAGTTTAGCCGCTACACGTGTTCCGTAGTTGCCGTGGCGACTTGCGGAGCTCTGTTGACTTCCTGTCCTGTGAGCGCTAGTGTGTGTTGAGTCTAGTTGTATTGTAGTAACGGTATTTCCCTCAGCTTAGTTCTCGGTCTGAACCTTCCAAGCTAGCGTTCACGTCAAAACAACCACCAAAGGTGCACAAGATCTATTAACGCGTCCAGATTGTTGACCAATCAGATCTCGTCTTGATGCCGGACCGGCAAGCGTCCCGAATTCTGGGCCAACCTCGAGTGGGCCAGACTTCTCGGCCGTAGCAGCGCCTAAAGACGTGCGGTATAGTGGGATCCGCGTGGATTCCTGCCTAACACCTATATATTGTGTGCAGTGTGAAGAGAGGGGTGTCCCTTCGTGTTTGATGCTTGCACGAACATGAATACAACTTGACCTGATGTGTTGAATGAAGTTCATAATCCTGTTCGCGTTACGCAAGTAGTGGCCGCGTAAACAAAAATGGATGAGAATTTGTGGTGTACACGTTGCCGGCTAGGGTTGCAAGTGAGACAGGAATTGTCACGTGGTTTGAGTGTTTGTGACGCGTGACCCCTACAAATACTTCTCACCTTAGCGAAAGAGAGAAGTAGGTGCTGAGGAAATGGTAGGTGATGCTCGTGGTTGTGGGGTAAACAAGATAATAGACAGTCAATGTGGATGTACTGATAGAATTAGTTCTAGGGGTAAGTAGACAGGTGGGTAGTCGCTACGTGTTCCCTTCTCATTCGAAATTTCCCGTTACCAGCATCCCAGTAATTTTATTAATTGATTTTCCTCTACTCCATACGGCTATGTCGAACAATTGAATGTAATGAATATTGACAAGTAAAAGGCATAATTGGTCTTGCTGCATCAGGTCAATAATCTTCTCATGGTCACGTGCCCTCTACTGAACTGATCTTGCCACAGGTCCCGTGATTTCTCCAAGACCTATTGGGCTGATTATCTGTCCGTCGTTTTGGTCATGTAGGACATTGTTTGTACAATCGAACCTACGGAACAACCCTGAACACGCGATTTCATCTTCCAAACCAGTAGCTGTTTCTGGGACTTGAACCGGTAGCCCCATTCTGACGCATGTTAAGCTCTGCTCGGTATTATGACCTTGCTCGCAGCAGTTATTTGCTTCCGCTGCACCGCACCAAAGATCCCGTACCCTTTCATACCTGACGACACTCTTACAGAGTTCAAATAGCTGCACCGAACAGGAAATTAAACTGCGTTTTTTCTCATCGGTATTGACACAGAAACTCGTCAACCTTTTTATCCGGCTTGTGTGCTGATTAGTTCTCCGTAGCCTGAGTTTGTCTCGTTCCCCATTGGCTGAAGCCAGGTCATTTGTGATTGGATAGTTTTGCCCTACGCCCATACGGCGCGTCCATAAATAATCCAAAGTTTTACCGTTATGCTTATTACTTTCTGTGATCATTTTGCTGACACTGCTCAAAAACCATGCCTAAATTTTTCAGTCCATTGTATTGCTGATCTATTGATTGAATGTATCCTCATTGGTGGTTACATTATCATCATTTTGGCATGAGCACTGTCAGGCCTACGAACAACAACTCTCTCCCTCTCCCTCTCTCTCAGGTATGCAGCCCCTACTCTTCTCTGTCCGCGAAGCACTGGATGGTCGCTGCTATTGGAGACGTGCGGGCAAATTTATAAACTACTATCGGAATCACTTTGTTCGCACGACTCACGGGAAACGTGAGTCAGTCTTTCTCATTCGTTATTACGTAACGTTCTCTGTATTGAGGAATTCAGGTGTATCGCGTCGCGTATTCTGACTGTTCATAGAAACTCAGTTTAAAGTTAGTAGTATCTTTTGCTATCGATCCGCTTTGGCACTGAGTCCCCTTGATACAGTCATTCATCATTTAATCATATCCGGATGGAATATCTCCTTTGAAATGGTTCTTCAATGTGTCCTTGTTTCCTTTTATCCCACCGTATTACCTGGTTCTTCATTCAGCTGGACGTTCTAGAACCCAGGTGGCAGGGACTGACACACCAGGCCGTTTCACTACGGTTTGCCACTATATACGTGTACATATGTGGAATTCACTTCGAACGATGTAGAAAATTATAGACCACTCACTGGATGCAAATGAAATTTCATTATAACAAAGTCGGAAGCATTCCCCATACGGTACGCTATCAGTCACGCCCTCGCAAGCATACCTGTGGAAGAAATATTTTCTTTCCCACCAAACTACTGTGCGAATAACAGTAGTTTGTTGTAGTCCTAAAAATCGCTGCATCATATCTTTCAGGTGTTGCGGATGGGAACACGTATCACACAACAACATTTACCATTCAGTTCCCTCATACGGGAGATGTCTGCTACTTGGCTTACCATTATCCATACACCTACACGAGACTGTTGGCGGATATCTCTCGTTGGCAAGAGCAGTCTTCCTCCGGTGACCGCAAGCTGTACTTCCGCGTCCAGCAGCTGACACGGACTATCTTGGAAAACCCAGTTCCCGTCATCACAATCACAGAGCTTCCTGATAATCAAAGCGGGGAGAATGATAGTCTGGATCAGCAAAAGAGGGAACTCAAATCGTCGGAGAGTCCAAGCGGTAAGTAACTTGGTACCTAATGCCTGGCCTCCCTGGTGTTCTGTCACATTCGGTTTCTAGAACTTCCCAGTTGATTGTATGAAGTTGCGTCGCTCGAGTGCACTCAACATTCCAAGCTGTAATTCTATCCTTACTGAAAGTTTCAAAGCTTGAAAAATTGTTTCGTTATCCTAATGAATACAGTACGTCTCGAGGTGCAGTTTCAATTATTAGCTATAGACCAGGCGAACGTCGATCCGACCTAACGATCCAGTGGTGAAACAGAATCCGATAAACCCGGCTGTGCAGATGTCATTATCATACACATGGTGTATTTAGTCAATGTGGATATTCCGATCCTTTTGTGAAATACGATATTCTGTTAGTCAGTAGGCAATACTCGTCCTGTTTCGTCTGACACCGTCTCTAGTGCTCTTTATTTGCTCAGGCCTGGAGGGAAAGATTTGCGGTTCCCGTGCATAGTCACCGTTACCAACGGCTTTATCTTTTCCCACTCCCAGTTCAGGACAATGCCATCATTTCGGATCAAAAGCCCTACATATTCCTCACTGCGCGTGTTCATTCGGGTGAGTCCAATTCCAGCTGGGTGATGCAAGGTCTGATCGATCGACTCGTGTCAAGCGAAGAGAAGATGGTGCAACTGCGTCGAACGTTCATTTTCAAAATTGTACCCATGTTGAATCCAGATGGAGTTATTTGCGGGAAGTACGTACTATTTGATCTTATCTGCCATCTTCTGTAATTTTTTTTCATTTATGGAAGATGCGGAACTTGTGGACGACCTGCTTTAAGGGTCTCATCAGGTACTTTGAGTTCCCTTTGAAACATCTTTTCGGGGGGATCCAGTTTCCTTGAACTATCCATCAAACGAGAGTACTTCACCGATAAAAGACGTGGGTTTGAGACGACTCATGTCTGTGCAATTTACTGTGGTCCTATCGATGTGGCGTGTTTCGCAGCTCTAATGTACCGGTAGAAATGAACGCTTACGTGCAGGCTAAAAACCGTTGGTTTTCGCCTTACCGTGTGCCAGTCAAATTCGATATCCGTTGTAATGAATAACTACCCCTTTTATGATCGAATTCGAAGGACCCCCTCATGCCATCAAAAACCCGAATCAAAGTGCCACTTTCCTACTCATTGTGTAAACGCATCCTGTCACAGGAGACGGTCATCCCAAAGATAGGAAGCTTGTGACTAGCGTCCGTTGAATAAATAGGTCTGTCTGGCCACAAGTCCTTTTACCCTGTACTAGCCTCACATTGCGCCCTGTCGACTGGAAAAGTACTCATCATGCAACGTTTTGTCATTTCGTTCCACAGCCCTCGTCGTGCTCTCTATATTTTTGAGATTAGTTTGCACTACTCAAACAGCAATACAGTAGTGTCATTAGTAGTGTTGAAATATTGGTGGCTCGGGTGAGTTTATCAGTTGTTGATCAGGTGGCTGTTGATCTGTTCACCGAGCTTGGCAATTGATTTGCAGACGTTTCGTCACCATTCGAGGAGACATCTTCAGTGCGCTGGTGTGCTTTAGTGTGCCAACAGCGCACTGAAGATGTCTCCTCGAATGGNTCACCATACGAAGAGTCATCATCAGTGCGCAGTTGGGTGATGATGATGTCTCCTCGTATGGTTGACAAGTTCGGCGAACAGATCAACAGCCACCTGATCAACAACCAGTAGCGTCATTATTACTGAGTCGGTTGATCCATTTGTACTACTAAAACACCTACTGACGATTACGCATGCACTGGCAGTCTGCCATCCCAAGTGAACGTGATAAACAGAACTACAGGCCTGACTGATTTCCGCCAGCTGCAGTTCCCATCCCACACAAGTTCGTCCGAGACCGGGCAGCTGATCACGTGACTGATTGAATAGATAATCAGCTGGCTGACTACTTGGGTAACATCACCCGATTAATTTCCCTAAATCTATTCTTATCCCTACTTGCTGTGTGTCGCTTTTCACTGCCCGACTACTAGTAAAGCACAGTAGTATCACATTGGTTCCCCTTCAATAAACGAGACAACGGGCAACAAGTCGGTAGAAAATACCTTTTTGTTCATAGAAATGGCTTAATATGAAAAGGTGACAGTGGAAGCCTTAGAACCGCCAAACCACGAACCAGTTAAAAAAATCGTAAAACGTATCCATTGTAGTTAATTGGGTATAAGACCTCTGTCCAACAATGACGGTTTCGCTAACCCCATCCTTCACAATGAACCTTTTCTTGTTACCAATTTTGCGGTCATTCCTACGTGACCCCAGTGAAACTACTCAAACCTGGTAAGCAGTAGTGAGAACAACACCGGGTTGATAAACCCTTGTGCTCAACCACTGTGTATTCATGCCCCGACTGAAGCCCTGTGATAATGAGAGCAAAAAACGAAAAAGAGCACAACCTCTAGGGTCTCGCAACCTACAACATTCATCCGGACAAAACATCAGCGACCACCGTTGATGCCGCACGCGTCATCAACACGCCACTATGATTGACGTGAGCCTGTGCGCACGCATTTTCGTGGTGCAAGAAAAGTCATCGACTCGAGAGTGGCTCGGTCATTTTTTCAGCTCAATTAACCCATTGTACGAATATTGTGGCTTGGAGGGCTAAACAATCTTGGTTTGCTGAAATGTGATATTTATAAACGTAGTACACTACTCAAAAGGTTGCTGGAAACACTTCGACAGCCTACGACCGGTTCCGCCAATCCTGGGGCTCATCAGGTGGGCGCAGTCATCGGGTTACCGTCAACCTTGTGTTCTGCATGAACCCGAATTGCACGAAATTAGCGAGATACACTCATTTGCAAACTAATTCGGTTTTTGCGGGAGATTCACCTGCAACCCAGCTGGATCTCTCGTTTCTGGTGTTATCAAGCAACTGAATGTGCTGCACCAGACCGCGCCTGATGAGCCCCAAGAAGGGCAAAACCGGTCGTGGGCTGTCGAAGAAGTTTCAGCAACCTGATGAGTGGTGCTTTACGAATATACATGTATCGCGATATCTCGAATATCGTAGCGACTGAAACATGGGGCGGCCTGGTGCAGCACATTCAGTTGCCTGGAAACATCACAAACGAGAGATTCAGCTCGGTTCCAGGTGAGTCTCTCGAAAAACCAATTTAGCTTGCAAATCAGTGTATTTCGCTAAAGTATGATATTCCTTCGGTCTCTAACCTAAGTGGTCAAAAACTGTCGCGTGCTTGGCTAGTTCTGTCATACTAACTTGTTCCTGTTGTCACGAAATCGGGACTAAACCGACCAGCTCGATGTTGCGAAACCAAATTTTCCGGATGACCTTTCCAGAACGGGACAACTGCATGCGGTGGCTCAGAGTCACCCGGAAAGCACAATTATATGTGCAATTGTGTATGAATGTTGGCAACTGTGGTGGTGTGATAAACTTTGCGCATGTCGGAAGCGTAGGTGCGCGAAATTACTATGTTGTTGTTTCATGTGGATGACACAAAAGGACTTGAAATGTATGTTTGCTGCCCCGGCTTTTTGATGGTGTTAGACCACATTATTTGCTCGCTCGGTTTGTATAAACTATCCTCGCACGCGGAGATCACCGTGGGCCAGTAATCTTTGTTCCGGGGGGCGACTATCGAGGACTGGTTGTGACCCGATCGAATGGCGTCAATTTTAAACACCGGTCGCCGTTGCGTAAACTTGTAACCCTATCCGAAGTCCAATCATTCATTGCTCGAATCCAAGCAAATGTTACAAAGCGGCTCCACCATTTCCGCAACAGATCTCCCCTTTTCAAGAGACGCAAAGCGAAACTCCAAGAACAGCACATACTACTCGCGTGCCTCTCCATCAGTAGTATCACCGTTACACTGCTCTGAAAACCCTTTGACAGCCTACCCGTCCGTTTCGTCCTTTTTCTTGGGCTAGGCACGGTACCCGATTTCCCATCAACCTTGTGTTCTTCTTGAACCGAAACCATGCGAAATTCGCAAACCACAGCCGTTTACGCTAAACTTCCCGTTTATAGTATTCTTTAATGGAGTTCGTTGCACAAAAGCCGCCTCATATTTCAATTGACATGATAATTGAGTAGATTTTCCTAACGGAACACACTACTTACAGGGTTGCTGAAAACTATTCGACACCACCCACCACTAGCTTCGCCTTTCTTGGGGCTTATTCAAGGTTCGTTGTCTTCAGGTTTCTTTCATCTGTGTGTCTTGTTGGGACACATTCGGATAATGCTCTCGATTCGCGAAGTACATTCATTTCAAATCTCCATCATCTTGATTGTTGTGTGTCTCTCTCATCCGTTTTCGTCCAGTCATCGGTGTTCCATGGCTGGTAAGGACCTCAATCGGCGCTGGATCAACCCATCGGTCGATATCCACCCAACCATATACCACACCAAAAAGCTGTTGCATTTGCTTCATGCCTGTGAAAGACAGCCGTATGTAAGTCAGTCTAGTTAATAAATCCTAAATGATCTCGAATCCATACAAACAGATGTGTAACCTCTCTCTCTCTCTCTCTCTCTCTTTGCTCTTCGCCAGATATATATCGACTTTCATGGTCATTCGCGCATGAAAAACATCTTCATCTATGGCTGTAGCCCGCTGGAGTCCTGGAAGAGTCCGGATCTTCACAACCCGACCTACCGCAGCTACGGCCGAGGTGTGGAGGACCGCTCCTATCGTCACCTGGCTGAAGTATTGGACACCGTGGCTCCTGCCTTTGCGAAACGGTCCTGTTTGTGAGTTCTTCTACGTTCCCTCCGTATGTTTGATGAAGTAAAGAACGCTAAAAGACAAGTCCCGCAACATGCTTTTTGGAACTCGCTTACCGTGATTGCATCGGGTTTAATTGTCTCTCAGATTCTTCTAAGACGTTTAATTCCGTATCATATCAAATCACCTGCCGACTGCAACACCTTTTCGGTACCTACTTGTCATGGTACTGGAAGAAAGCCTGAGTTTTGAGATCCTGCCAGGTTTTTCGAGCTTTGACAGGTGCATTCGAGATGCTGGGGCTGGGTTCGAACCACAGACCTTCCGGTCAGTGAGTGCGCGCTTTAAGCACTGAGCTATCTCGGGCTCTGAATACCGTATCCATTAGTTCTTTATCATGTGGTTGTTACGGCTTCTTAGTTGGGTGTCAATTGCTTCCCCAGCTTTTACTGTTAGCCTGAGCACTCCCGTTACCTGTGGTTTTTGTTCCAGATACTCGGTCAATAGGGCGAAAGAAACTGCAGCTCGCATCGCTGTCTGGCGAGAATTCAGCGTCGTCCGTTCCTTCACGATAGAAGCCTCCTACTGTGGCGTGACGCGTAACATCGACGCGCCTCAACTTGATACCCCCGTCAACTCCGATCCACTGGCCAGTGGACATCAAATCAATCCGGGTCACCTAGGTAACTTTGGCGCACAACTCCTGGATGCATTTTTACTTCTACCAACCTATGATCTCGAACACCCGGCTCCTCCAACCTCTCCACCTCCAGCCTCAGTCGATAGCTCTATCAGTTACTTTCCAGAGTACCCCGCACTGGCCGATTCAGAGAAGGCACCCGATGTTACGGATGAAGATGCGGTCACAGTGGAGCGAGATAAGCAAGCTGCTCTAGACCTTCTCAGTCCTCAAAGCGATTCATCCGGCGATTCCGACTCAAGTCTGTCCTCAGTTTCGGTGTCTTCCGCGTTCAGCCTATCGTCCGGATCATCGAACGACAGCGACAACCCTCCTGACGGTTAGCCGATCCCACCTACCCCCTCGCCCCACTTTTTTTGCTCAGGTACTCAGATTTAAACAAGCTCATCTAGTCCAAATTATTCACTTCCGCATCCGTTTGTTTCTGCCTTTGTTTTTCTTAATATTTGCCTTCGATCATTCTGTGATATTTGCACAGCTTTTACTCTACCTCACTTCGATAAGCCTGGGAGAAATCACCCCATCTTTTATCCTGGCTCCATCCATACATGTCGTTCGGTACAAATGGTAGACTCTCATCACTACGCCAACCCGGAAATACACAACCAACAGATATCTACTCTATATTCTCTTTCCGACGCACCTATACACTTCAACACAACTTTGTGTCCTTGAATATGTATATCGATTCCACACGGTATTTCTTGTTCTGCTTTTGAATTTGAATTCTCCTATTGATCGATTGCTTGTGTGTTGGCCTGTTTCCGATACCGCGATTTGCTGGAAGTGATTTGTGTGATTTCAGTCCAAGTTAACCCCTCCTTCTCACGCATACACAGCTAAGAAAAACCACAATAGGAAGAAGAAATTAATCCGCTTCAGGAAAGTGTATTCTTTTCCAATGGTTCTCTCTTAGGGTGTCGGTTAGTCGTAGGATTTTCTCCTCATTGTGGCGTCTTAAACTCCCAGTCTTCCTTTGCCTACACTATAACGCCCGATTGTTTAGTTTTCTCCCTTCTGACCTGATGATCGCAACCTACTTTCCATTAGGCACCTTTTTGTTTTCAAAAACCCCGCTTTCTGTACCAGCCGCACTCACTCAGGTTCGGAACCATAGGCTAACACCCGACTACAGGTTCTTCAGATGTTTCCAAATGCAGGTTGAGTAAAGTGTGTTTGGCGCTGCCCATCCTAAGTGGAATTCTATCGATTTGGTTCCGAAACAAGACGCACTTCTTAGCCACATCATCATCGACAGCATAACATCAGTGCTCAACACCGATGCTTCACTACCCACTGCATATTTTGCTCATTCAGTCGCTCAACAGTAACCGATCGAAGAGAATATACAGCGAAGGGATATTTTAGCCCCCCTCGTGGAAACTTTTTATGGGAACTTTCATGCGAATCATGGTTGATAGAAGGACGCCGTTTTTTATATATTCTGAGGCCTTTCTTCGTGACCTCTTGTGTTTACCCAGAACGTTCATATATTCAATTGCTCTGGCCCCCTTTCTGACTGTTGACTGCTTGATCATCTTCGTTTGCAGTATGGAAAATTTTACTGGCTGCTCCGTATAATCTGTCATTGCGGGCTCTACAGACTCGATTCCCTTTCAGGGATGATCATTCATTCTACCACTGGCCTCTATGACACAGAATACGGACAGTGCGGAAGATTTGTTATCCGATATAGATATGGTTGAGAAACCGTCAGAATCAGTCCCCGTCCCCACTCTCCCGGTTTCTCTGTGCGCCTGGCGTATCCTGCTGATCGGAGCGTAAGTTTTCCGGGTTTTTTCTCTCATCCTCTTGTTCACTCTCGCGCGCTCCAACGATATTCATGTTTTCAGCTCCGATCCCGGGAAGGATTACCTTCTCCTTTGGCGTTGCTTACTGTTGTGAAATGGGTTCATTCGGCAGACGTTTTTGCTTTGAGGGCTGGGTGTCCGCTGTACCTATGTAGAATTTTGCTATCACTTGTGTTGGTTTCAATGTGGGGTTTGGATTTGTCCCATGTTCGCTAACTTTCACTACGTAAGACACCCGGATGGAGCCGACCAACTTAGACGCTCTGTCTGGGACGGAGTTGGTACGGAGCAAGTCAAACCTTGACATTTCGGTGTCCGGAAGTCACCTTCCTGAATTAGAGTTCCTTGCTAACGATGGTCACTAAAAGCATCACAGTTCAGTCGTGTTCATTCGAATAGTCCCTCATACTTTCGTATTTTCCTACGTACACTACATAATAGCCGTATGATCTGTCTTTAATGTGCTCCGGTGACTTGCCCCTATTTCCATTGTCTAGTCCGATCACAGCGAGCAACAACTGATAACATGTCTTTTTGTCAATATTCTCCGAGACTTTGGCAGTGAAGTATATTAGGAATCCTTCCTCGTTTGAAATAATGCAGTAAAAAAATCCCCCGCCCAGTTCTCACGAAAATCGAAAACGCATCACGGAACTAGGCAAGGGATGTTGAACAAAGGTCCAAACCCGTGAAGTCTTAGGTGACCGAGTCCAGATTGTCAACCAGGTGCTGCAGTGTCCAACTTTGACAACGGATTGTGGAAATGGGCCACAGGATGAACAGTATTCACTTCTCAACCCAGCCTACCTTGACTCGCGCTGGTGTCCTTAGGTGGCCACGTCGACTTACCTGTGTTCCCAAAGATTCTCTAAGATCTATTTTAATCTGATGTTTATTAGTGGAGATACATCTTGTGGACCCGTTCATTTTCCGGGCTTCCGGCAACTTTATCCGCAACCTAGTTTTTCGGTAAAAAGGTAGGATGTTCAGCTGTAGCACCCTTCCGGTGCCTAGCTGCCATGCCACCCGAAGGAAACACGAGGGTTGCCAGGTTGCCCAAGCCAATATAGGAGAAGTCGAGATGCAAAAGTCGGATTCGAACCACGAACCTTGCGGTCAGTACGCTCGCGCTTTAACCACTTAGCCATCCCACACTCCGCCTCTTTGGGTAGAGAGAACAAAGACCGTACGGGTGAGCGGGGTCACCATCTTCAGCGCTCGCGAAAAATTGCAAAAAGCGAACAGACATCCCCTTTCTCGATGACAAGATATTCGAAAGAAAACCATTGCCTGGTCGATGTGACACATCAGCCCAGAGTCATTCGACCCCAGATTCATCACCTAATGGCTAGGGAGAATGAAACCGTGCATCTCTAGGTAGCTTTCAGCCGGTAGGATTTAAGGACGGTCGAAATGGGCAGGAATAAATATGTGAATCGAACTAGTTAAGAGTGGGAATATTGCGATTTATGGTACACGTTTGCAGCAGAAAACGGTGGAGTTTGACCTTGGATTTACGAAAGCTGGATCGTTCGATATTTTATTATATCTTAAAAACAGGTGCGATAAATGGTTTTGAATGAGCTCTCCTCGATAAGTTATCACAAAGAATGACTGTGATTGATCTGGTTGAATCTCTCACTGGGTGGTTTGTACAATTCAACTTTTTGAAGGACATGAGCACAAGCTTTGTACTGAAGACCGACGATGTCCTCGAAAGAGCCCACCCACTATCAGCTGTGGGTAGCATGACCTTGGAAGCCAAGCGGCCTTACCACACAAATTTGTCGCGTAAAATAATGCAACAGTGAATTTTCACCCGTTTGGAGGTCTACCTGAAAGGAGATTACTTTCACATCCCGTGTGTGTCTCATCGAATTGGCGCAGGATGAATAAACTGGTTGCTTTTCGACATGTCGACCTTCTTGGTATCTAAAAACCTCTCTGAATAGGAAACACACCGCACCTGAAGAAATTTTCCCGCTTCTCCTGATGGGTGTCTTTTATTCGAGGTTTTCACTTTGGTCATGCTCTTTTTCTGGTAATTTACTATCGCAGCTTCAGTGCAGCAGAGTTGATAAGAAGGACTCTCAACTCATGAGATGCTTAGTTCTGATGCTTTCACTTACCTAAGAAGGCAAGAACCACCTCCCTGGTTTACTCCCAAATGGTAGTAAAGCTAACTTGGCTCAAGTGACATTTGATTTGTATCCATATTTCCTCTGCACTTCAAGCTTTCAACGTGCATGCCACAAGTTCCTTGTGAGTTGAGAGACAGTGCTGGTGGTAGCACATCACTCCGACGGAATATCCCCATCCAAGTGTGCCTCTCCGTCCGTCTCATCCTGTCGTGGATGCCGCTTGTTCCAAACCAGGCCACTTTGTTCGTCCCCTTTAATGTCAACTAGTCCAGTAACTGTCTCATCCGCCTAACTCAGGATCCTGGACACGTTTAGGATGTTTCAACTTAAATCCACTCTTCATTTGACTGGATACTGCATGTTGTGGCTGTCTTGTGTCAGGCCTTTTATTCCTATAGTACTGCGAAGACCTGACGGCTTACAGGATAAGAGGCTTTTCATCCTCTCCTGTCTGAGTGGCCTTTTTACGGAGGGGTTCATCTCTGGGGGTCTTTGGCTTCTCTTTATTTTTTCACCCTTATATGTCATCAATTCTAGACAGTTTCTCCAGCCATTGTGATGACTCGCCCATACGTGCGCCGCACATTGTCTGTATGCACCGCGTTCTTCAGTCTTAGACACCTCTAGACCGTCCAGTCCAGATGCCAGAAATCACCTTCGGTAATACTAAACAGTAGGTCTCACATCATGGCATCTGATTTTGTTCCTTTGCAACTCTAGTGTTTTCCTCTATTCGTCCTTCACAATCTTCGTTCATCTTTGTGAAGTGGATGGCCGTCTACCCTTCCTGTCCGCCTCCGTGATCTTCCTCGTCGAGTTGCTCAAGGTAGAGTGCTAAATTATTTTTTTTGTTCTAACTACTTTCTATTATTTTAGTAGCATGATTTTTGTCGGCTTCTCATGCGTGACTCAGTGGCGTTAAGCTTGAGTAGTCTGTCCCATTCATTGGTAATTCGCCTATAGTAGGCAATTGTTCACCCGATCAAACGACTACTTAGGTTCAGCTGTAAAGCCAGTGTGCATTTTGTTCACTCCGGAATAGGGTTGTTTTTGTTTGGCGTAAGCGATTCTTGCTGGTAAAAGAGCGAGCGATTGTCTACCAGGTGAAGATGCTTCCTCGGGGTGAGCTGTATCAAATGGACCGGTAAAACCACAATGAATAAGCCAACCGAGCATGGTCCGCGCCAAATCATCGAGTTTAGTGGGCGTCAGTCTCTAAGTTAAGACAAACTACTATCTGACAGCGCAGTAATAGACTAGTTATCGTGCAGCGCAGTAATAGACTATTAGACTATACACGAGGCACTGTACGTGTTTTTGACCTGGTTTGGGGCGGTAGTGCATGTCGGGCACCTTTGTTGGCTAGTTTGACGTGAACGCTAGCTTGAAAGGTTCAGATCGTTACTACAACTAGCGCCCCGGATGGGAGGACAACCCAGAAAAGCTGAAAACTTCGCCTCGGATTTGAAATCGCTCCTCTTAAGGGAGCCTCATGCTCCGTTAATAGATTGGTTACATGTGTTAGTTAAAACTTGCTTGCTCATTCTACGTTTCTCATGGAAGACAGTCGTTTTTAATACTCTTTAAGACAAACAAATCCAGTTGTGACTGTATTACAAATTTTCGGGACATCAACAGTGACGCTTCAACTTATACACGGCGGGTGGATGTTTTCTTCGGCATGCCGTTCGTCTTCTTCGCTTACCTTGAAGAGCTCCACCATCATTCAACAGAACTTATGTTTAAACCCCAAAGCTACCAATGACTTCGTATTGTTTAGGTATTAAGTATGTTGGGTACCATCCCTTCAGCGTTTATCTTCAACCACTTTCACAGTTCGGTTACTACCTCATCAATGTTTACCTCCAACCACTCACATAATTTGTTTTTAACGCATGCACACCCACTGTTTCACTCATGTTTTGATGATGTCATGCATATCTGCCTGTTGAGTTCGATACATCAGTCAGACACTTCAACACCAGTTATCCCCTCAACGGGAACAGTACTAACACCCCGCATCAATACCGCCTCCATTCATCTTCCACCCTTCTGACACCTCGCATTTGGTTTACGCAGGTGCAGGCACAGTTCACTCAATGAAGTATCACTCAAGAACGCACTATGTACTATCATGTGTTAGCTATACTTCCATCAGAAATAGCGGCATGACATAATCAAAACAGGAGTGAAACAGTGGGTGTTCATGTGTTAAACAAATTAGGTGAGTGGTTGAAGGTAAACATTGACGAGATGGCAACCAAACTCTGGTAAAGCGGTTGAAGATACACGTTGACGGGATGGTAAGAAGCAAGTTCAACGAAAACGGTTTCAAGCAAGTAGTCTGTTGAGCTCAGCAGCATTGTGACAGCCAAACGAATTCAGCCTACTTGTAACAAACTGTATGTTTGAGTGGAACGCCTTCGGCGCCGTTACTCCTTCGTTTATCTGTTCTTCATTCCTGTTTCCTATCACCGACTTTCATACGCACTGGTTGGTCTGTGAAGTGACCCTGTTTATATCCGCTCGTTTGTGTTCTCATTACTAGACTCTGGCCAAATTAGGTGGTATGGACTCCACGTGTTTCGCGATTCTTGCGACTGCTTGCAAGCGAAGCACCCATCTTCTCTGTTCCTCTTTCCTGTTGCGATTCCGTCAATCGGTTTCCTTTCGGCGATTGTGTCTAGTTGCGAACTCAAATTCGCGCAAAATTACAATAACTCAAATTGATGCGTAGAGTAAGCGAAGACAAATTCGTTAAATATGTGAAGAACAGAGCTCTTTCCCATCTAACAGGAAATGGGTTGCGGAATTAGATTCCGTTGGTTCAATCTCACATATTGAAAAATTGCTACATCAAGTGACTGTAGATGGGTAGATGTGCTCTAAAGTGGAGCCGCCAGCTTAACGTTGTGCAACTCTTGGTCCTTTAGTTCAGCGTCAGTAAAACTGTTATTTTGTCGTGGCACTCTTCATCATCCAGGGTTTATCACTGGCTGTATATTGCACGCTAGCTTGACCTTATTTGTATCAGTACAGAACCTTGTTCTCTTAAAGGAAACTACTCACAAGGTAGCTGAAAACTCTTCGACAGCCCACGACCGGTTTTGCCATTCTTGGGGCTCATCAGGTAGGCGCAGTCCCCGAGTTTCCGTTAACCTTATGTTCTTCTTGAACCCAAATTGGACCGTCATCGAGAAATACACTCATTTGCAAATCAATTTGGTTTTCATGTGAGACTCAACTGAATCTCTCGTTTATGATATTCTACAACTGAGGCGGCCTGTGTGCAGCACATTCAGTTGTAGAATATCATAGACGAGAGATTCAGTTGAGTCTCTCGTGAAAACCAAATTGATTTGGAAATGAGTGTATTTCTCGAATACCTTGTTGTCTATTAGTTAAGCACAACGAGAAGCAATAACCGTTTCCCTTCAACAGGGGAACATATTGATTTCTCACCTCGATCGTTTTGTGCTTACTCGAGGTCCCATCTTCCACACAGACCACCGGAAAAGTACGCCAGTCTCCTCCCTGGCGCCATTCACATTGCCTGGAATGCATTTCTCTTTCGTGAAAACCAAATTGATTTGCAAATCAGTGTATTTCTCGAATACCTTGTTCTTGGTCGCAGGTTCGAACCCCTCTGAGTTTCGTGAGATGCGGCCTTTTAACTATTCCAAACACTTTTCAGCGTAGCTCGACTCTACTGACAGGAATATCACCAAATCTGCTCACGTTACCATGAACCAATAAGCAGCTCAGAGGAAGGATAGTTTTCGTGGATGTGTGAAACTTCCTCCTGAGAAGTCATCACTCAAGGAGTCATTCAGTACGTAACCACGTGATGTAACTGAACAATGAGCGGTCCCCTATTCTGCCAATGTGCAAGCTCCTCGTGGCCGAACGGCCAAGTGTTCATACTACCCGCTGGCAGATTACAGGTTTGAGACGCCCAGAAGTTTCTTGGGGTTAACGACGACTGACGTTCTGGTTAGTCAAGGCAAACAGGTGGGCTTGATATGGGACAAGAACTTAAGCAATGATGTACGACTGACCTCAGCTTATTGGTTTCAGTCCGTACATCTGTACGTTGTGTTCCCGATCAAATAATTACCTGCGCCAGACAAAACTCAAGCAGTTTCGTCAGCTCCTCTCACACACGCACACAAGTCTCAATCGAGAAAATAATCGTTCAGCTGTAGCACCGTTTCGGTGCCTAACTGCCATGCCACCAGAAAGAAGCACGTGGGTTGGGCCAGGTTACCCAAACCTAAACAGGGGAGGTCGAGAGGCAGAGGTCGTGTTTGACGGACGGACCTCGCGGTCAGCAAAATTTGCACTCCAACTAGTAAGTCATCTCGCTATCTCTTAACTGGCAGACCGATCTAGACTCGTGATGGTTGATCCAAGTGGGTGTGCTGCCTGGCCAGGCTTTCTTTCGATCTTAAGGACTCTCAAGATCCCCGGAACACCGGGATTTACACTGCCTTATTATGATATCTCTAATCAGTAATCTAATTGTAATTCAATTTTTTCAAACTTTGTCCCTTCACAGCTTCTGCTGTCTCTGGTCATGTTTGGCATTCATCACGGCTCATTCACATTCACTTCAACCAGTGGGACCCACACCAGTTTTATCGATGCCATACGATTAGAGTTACGTCACAACCTGATGTCTTCCTCAGACGCATCGAGACCGCCACCAAGTCCGCGGCCTCCACCCTTAACCTATCCCCAGTTATTCCGTATCATCCTGCCATTCATGATTCCGGCTGTGTTGTATGCGGTGAATAACAACTTGGGTATTTTTATCCAGTTGGAAATGGATCCAGCAACGTACCAGGTTAGTCAAATGTGTGAATGTATGACCAAGGTCGCCGTGTTGTGTTACTCTCAATCTTCTACATTACCCAACTCGGTCCATGCCTGTCCAAGACAGTATTGGAGATGAACGCGTTTGTGCGACAGCATACCCTTTTTTCAGTGAACAAGTTTTGAGTAACTACGTGCTCCCTCTGTGTGATTGATACCACCTTTGATTGGCTAAATCGGTATCTAGCAACTTGTTCAGGTCTTTCTGAGGGCCCAGAGCGTTGTTTTCGACCGGAAAGGCTGTACTGTTGTGTGATTGCAAGACACGGCCTCTGCGGGGAGGTATTCTGATATTCTTCAGGCTCTTGATCACCGATGTCTCGGAGGTGTTGACGAATTCGTAACGAGATAATTATAAAACAAGTACTTTATTGTTCAGCCGATACTTTTCAATCGCGGAAAACATCCAAAACCATCAGTTGCGATGGTTCGGTTGGGCGCTACGCACGCCGAAACATTGTCTCCCGGACCAAGTGTTGTTTCCCGTATCACCTTCAGAATTGGGAATACTGTTAGTTGGAAGGGTGTGAGAGAATGAGAAGAACTTGTGTGTCGTTGGTGTGGTCCGCCTTCCAGGATGGGGTCAACGTGACCTTCCCCCTGTGCTTGGCTGATGACATTGACAGCAGCTGTCAGTTTCTTACAAGATTCAGCTATGTGCAGCGTGAGCTAGTAAAGTCTTGGAGACAACATTATCAATTCACACGTGTATGTAATAGGAAGATTTTTAGTTCAACTGACCAAGTCTGGCTGCAGACCGCGGATGAAAAGCTTGACACCAAGGCTAATCATACTGGTTTTACTGAGGAGGTATATCGAGATATTCCAGAAACGTGAAGCCTACAGCAACATATTGCGTGCAATCGCGAAGTCTGAACCCACGCCCGCTCATAGTCACTCAGTGTGGCCTTGTTCTCAAGATTCCAGAGTGATTTTTGTACCCAAATCGATTCGGAAATTCTGAACAAAATGGGAAGTGATGGGGATGGGTCGGTGGTAGTTCTCGAGGTCAGCAGGGGAGTCTTTGTAAAAAGCATCATAATCCCAAAATACTCCAGTCCTGTTGGAGTGACCGTATCGTTTGATGGGGGCAACATGCTTTAAGAAGAGTTACTGTGGGAATCAAAGCCCAAGGTCACATACAAGGGATCACACCCTGTTCATGGCACTGAGTTGAGATGCTAAAATGTTTCCGTGTTGAAGCAACTCTGCGGTTTGCTTTTGCTCAGCGGCAACTTCCCTGTAACATCCTTTTGCGCCACCGTTACCGTGGGGTTTGCTCCGAAGACGGAAACAGAAAACAGCTCGGTTTTTACTTGAGTCCTTTTCTACCAAACGTTTGTCTAATCGGGTGTGGTAATTTCGCAGTACTCAATAAATACATCAGTATGTTAAACGATCTTGGATTCGCAGAAAAATACAAGTGTGATACAGGCAGCAACTCATGATGCAAACTTTGCAATGAGTAAAAATTCGAGGACGTTTGCCCAGTGATGACATGGAACGTGCCTTCAACTACGTCTGAGTGTCTGCTATAACTGAGCCATCGTCGTCGGATAAATGCACTTCGTGTGACAAGCTCCTTGTGAGTGCACCAGAAATCGGTTGCGGGATTATCTGGTTTAACCTAGTGATGATAATGACGTGCTCAACAACTTCGAAGACAACTCAATGCGCTTTCTTGAACGTCCTTGTTAGAAGCCTTTGCTGTCCTAGTGTATTGTGCCAGTACATGTGCAGACTATGATTTTGTTCTGTTTTCTTTTATAAAAGCCCCAGCTACTTAGCAGTAAGTGCGGCTGTCGCCACCATCCTGATACCTAACTTCCAACACACTTGGAAGAGATGGTCCAAGTGGTTAGAGCGCGAATTTACTGACCGGAAGGTCCGTGGTTCGAACCCGACCTCTGCCTCTGGACTTCCTCTGTCTAGGCTTGGGCAACCTGCCGGTACACCAGCCCTCGTGCTTCCTTCGAGTGGTATGGCAGTTGGGCAATTAAAGGGTGCTACAGGTTTATTTTGCACACTTGGGATAGAGAGTAACAGAGCGAATGAATAACATTACACAAGATGTTTTCACTCTGTCGTCACAGTATCCTGGCAACAGAGGGAGTGGGTGAATAGGGCAAACAGAATCCCATTCGGATTGTCTGATTGGTCGAAACCATACAACCTCTTTGTCCAATGTATAGCTTCGTTCTAGGATGCAAGATTCAACCGATTCCCCTTCCCGTTTACCTTGGTGTTGACATTCACAAGAAAATGCTGATACTGTACCGCTTCACGATGAAGTTCTCTTTTCCATTTCGTCCTGTTTTAGGTACTTGGAAATTTCAAGATACTGAGCACAGCGATTCTGTTCCGTCTAATTATCAGGAGGTGAGTATGTTTCTGTTTCTGATGCATTCTCTAAAAGCCTGTCAGTAGCTCTCTCTCTCTCTCTCTCTAATGTTATCCTCGTTGGTAACCTTCGAAATCAGTCCTGTGACCCTCTTTCCGTTTTGCATGCAGAGATATGCTAGATGTTCTTCGGAAAGGGCAGTTTCACACCACGGATGAGCTAGTCACATTCCACACTGCCTCGCGGAACCCCCTTTCGTTAATCGTCTGGGACGATCGGAGGGTGATCACTGTGTGACCAAGTGTGAAACCCATGGTCAGAAAACTCGGTTGGTCCCCATATGGGGATCCTGAAATAAGGCTCTGGTAACTCACACAGCTGGCTTGGCTCCTTTCTGTCCATTAAACGATGGCCATTTGGTATCCTGAATCGATTAGGCCATCGCCAGCAATGCAGCACATTGACGCTTGTTGTCGTTGCCATAAAAGATTGATTTAGGCGGTTTTCAGTTTTCGATATTTGGTTGACTAACTAATTCAATGAAACTTCACTAAACTTCAGCATTATCTATGAGCACGGAACTGTAAGAATGAAAGAGTTGAAATCAATATTTTAACTCACACACACTTTCACTCTGATCGTCACAGATGAAGCCGTAACGTAAACAATCTGAGTGACCTACTTCCAAGAGCTCAATCGGTCACCTACGTTTATTGCTTTTTCGTTCAATCTTTTATGCGCTGGCGTAGTTTGCACTGGCTGACGTGCGAACGAACTAAAAGTTTTGTTCTACCTCGCGCGTTTAAACTCGTCATAAACTCCTCAGTCGAATTTTTTTCATAGACCAAGGTCTGTGCATTCCAGTTCGTGTTGACTAAGACCTAACACTCGGACGGTTTTTACTCAACAGTGTTTATTAGTCGACTTCATTTCACTTTCTACATAACCCGAGTGTTTTTCCCCACCACTCTGATATGAAGTTCTTCCTGTTCACGAATTCGCCCAATATCTTCGCTCGTTTTCCTTCTTTGTTTCCAGGCCTATCTCCCCAATTCAGTGGTTCGCCCTGTTTCTCCTTCTGTCTGCCGGTTTCACGCACAGGTGAGGTCTTTCTCTTCGTTTACACCAGTCCATCGTTGGAGCAGGCCACAGCCTGGCTGGTTCACCGTAATAATGAGATTCTACCTTCTGTCTGCCGGTTTCACGCACAGGTGATTTACATCAGCTCATCATTGGAGCTGGTCACAGCCTGGCTGGTTCACCGTAATAATGGGATTCTATCCCCGTCGCCAGTTTGTGTTTTCGTATGCCTATGCTACATCCTCCCGTACCGATTCCTAATTTTCAATTTGTTCTCCACTAAAGTAGACGTGCCACTCCCTACGAAGATCATCCGTAAAGAAAACTCTTCAGTAATTTCAGATTTTTTCAAGCATTCGTCCTTTACGTGAAGTAAATCTATGCTGAAGCCCTGAAAAGCATGGTATGGCTTTTCATCCAGCAGTGTATGTCTCTTGAGATGCACTTTTAAACCTGTGATCTTGAGATGCACTTTCAAACCTGTGACCTCCTAGTTAAAAACCTAAGCGTTCGTCCAAACAGTAGTGTGATCAGCTCTCACTCAGGCAGGATATTTAGCCGTTTGTCCTTCAGTCACGGGTTATGCATCACATGTTCACTCATTGACTGAATCTTCTCAGGTGGAATATTCACCCACCCTGTGAGTTTATTCTTTTTTTGGTCTACTTATAGCTATCTATAAATGTCCAGACTATTAGCCGGAAGGTCATGGGTTCGAAATTTATAGTGTGACCGCATGTGACATTGTGCGCGAGGCTCCTTCAGCGTAGTTAGGCCAATTCGGAAACGGATATCAACCTCCGTTTATAGTGTATACTTAAACTATCCCATTCTCCCTTTTCTGTCCTCTCCACTCCCTCTCACAACTAGCTACGGAAGTCTCCTCGCGAAATCAGCATCCCCCCCGCCAGGAAGTGCTGTTCCGCCAGCTTCCGCCTCGCATCGGCTTCACATCACCGTCCTGGGTATTTTCCTTATTGCTCTCTACTGCACCATCTCCGGTCTGTCTGGAGTAACCACTGAGTACCTGATGAAGCAGCGTGCACAGGTGAGTTTGTCTGATATTTATTGACCTGTCTACGTCGGTGGACTTGCTAGTTTCTTACCGTGAACGTTTTTTTTCGTTGTCTGCTTAAACTCAGCACATGCTTCATGTGCTCTACCAGCACATACGGGACTGAACAGGCGAACCTGTTCAGGCGTGAGTAATGAGTGGCAGGCTGGACGCCTCGAACAACGACCCAGTGACACCTTGGTTGTGTCGGCCCCGCCTGTCAGGACTTCCCAGTAGGCTAGCGCCAAGGACGTTTGAAACCTGCCGGACATTTTTTTGGAACAAGAGTATCCCACTTACGAGATGGCGAAACACATCGTTCTGGTTCTTGCCTTGAGGTTACGCGAAGTCGTATGCAGACGAAATGTTTTGTTTGCTGAGAATTCAATGTAGTGGTCTGGCTACCCAAAAAGCTACTTTACCAGGAGTTTGTGGCAAATAAATAAAAATAATAACGCTAGTTTGAGTAATTAAGGGGTCAGATGGAACAGACTCACTGAGAGTCGTTCTCTTTAAAATGGTTCGTCGTTTGCCCAGGTCAGCGATTAAATATTAATCCAATCATGGCTGTCCAGAGGTCTTCTTCTGAGTAGTTCTTACTTATAGATTCCGAAGATAGTCTGAAATGTTGTGATAACAAAGTTAACACATGAGACCTGCGAATGACCGCTGTAAGCGCGAGCGAAATCAGAAGAGAGGGTTGGAGCACGTGACCACGTTTGTATTGCGTGATTTTGTACAAGTGCGCGCTTTTGTAGTTTATCGTATTCAAACAAAAAACGGTTGTGCAACTGACATAACACATAATGTTGTAATGGAAGTAAAAGAAAGATACAAAACACCGCATCGGTCAGCGTCACAGCAATTTCAACAGGTGTAGTGGCTACCTCTAGAGCAACCATCCGTAGTGAACAACGGAATGGATCCTCTGGAGATAGTAGCACCCGTGAGATTGGTGAGCCATCTTTCTATCTGAGGATTTGTTTTGTTTGGTCCAGAAGGTCGGTAGATTATCTTAACTAGTGTCAATGTGTCAAAATATTGGTAGCTCAGATGTGTCCTGGTGGTTCATCAGACAGTCGTTGATTCGCTCGCCGAGCTTCGCATCTGGCCTGCAAACGTTTCGTCCCCAGTCGAGGAGACATCGTCAGCGCGTAGTTGAGTGGGTGCTCCCTCCGTACCTAGCTTTGTTTATATGGCTTTCCAAGAGTATCTAATACCCTCATGTGATTGGCTAATTGGTACATACATTTCTCGAGGTGTTATTGGCCCAGTCGTGCTTTGCGCTGCGTTGTCCACGTGCCCCATATTCCACTGGTTGGTTGGATCGCTGCTTTCGCCTGTTTGAGGACCGTTTTATATCGATCCGCTTCCGATTTCTGTTGCGTTGTGGTCCTTTTTCCTTGAATTCGGTTGGTTGTGATACCGGTTTCCATTTCGTTAGTTTCCTTCCTTTAGTCTGATTGGTGCATTCTTAGTTTGCATCTTCATCTCCTCTTCTTGCGTCTGACAAGCCGCTTGTATTTCCGCGTTTGATGTAGTTTTTTCCTTCTCGCGTTGGCCGATTTGGTTGTAGCTGGATGGTCTCTTTAGTGAGTTGATCTTGATCCCTCTACGATTTGTCGGTTCGATGGTAGTCCCGGAAAGTGGACTGCTACCCTCGATCTTTTTTTTCTTTGTTTTGTTTCGTCCACCAATGAGTTTCGTGGTTCCCCTGTTCTTTTGCTTGCAGTGCTCGATAGATTGGCCGCTTTCAAGGTGTTTGTTGATGGCTTCTTCAGTGGAGTGCCATGCTCCCATGGATTCACGTTTTTCCTTGTTCTCGCTTGAACCAATATGTGATCGGCGCTCTAGTCGAGTCTGTCCACCTTGATCCCTGTGAAGTTGTTCAAATTGGTCGTGCCTTTTGGCTGCTGGTTTATGTTCATGTATTCTGGTAAAGAGCTTCCTTCCTGTTTGCCCCACGTAGTGTTTGGCACAATCTCCGCACTGAATCTTGGACGCGACGTTGGTTCTCGACATTGTGTCCAGTCGTCTTTTTGGGTTTGATAGTATTCTCGGTAGGGCGCTTGCAGGTCTCGGTTATTTCCGAACTAACTAACCAATTGAATACGAGGCATGCGGACCATAACGCACCGCAAATCACGATCGGGTCAATAACATCGAAAGAAGGGTATATACCAACTAGCCATTCACATGGGAGGATATTAGGCACTTTTGAAAGGGTATATAAACACAGCTAGGCACGGAGGAAGCACCCTGTCGATTGCGCACTGACGATGTTTCCTCGACTGGGACGAAGCGCTTACAAGCTAATTGCCGACCTCGGTGGATAGATCAACGTCCATCGGATCAACCACCAGTATTTCATCTATTCTGCGGAGAATTGGTTCTCCTCCTGCAACCATCAGAAAACATCTGCTTTAAAGCCACTGCAAATCATAATGACTTCCGGTAATCTTTCACAGCAACCGATGTATTTCATGTCAGATGTCCTTGTTCATTGCGCCCGGGGTTGAATTAATGACAGCCCCTCACTAGTGTCCTACCCTGCCAAATCTAAGCTTTTTCCGAACCAGGTGAGCGCTTATCCACCCGTCCGATATTCTGCACTTTAATCTTCCACCAATAGACCACACTCTTCGGTCTTCGGAATTCCACTTTCACCAGCAACCTTGTATTCCCTCCAACAGCTTGATACCCGATTATTTCGTGACTAGTAAGGCTCTGGAGTTTTTTTAGTGGAGTCGTGTTGTGTAAAATCCAGCTCTGATTCGTACTCGGCATTTATCAGCACTACACATCCTACTCATTCCAAGTTCCACAAATACCCGCAGAGCACGAAGATGCACTGCTCATCCAGAACGCCGATTCACTCGCCCCAAGTTGCTCCTCCAGGGTTCATTCTCCCCTGTTTTTGTTTGGAAGGTGACGAGTATCGAGAACTTTTTGAACTCTCATTTGTACACGAATTAGGTTTTGATATGGGGGCTTTCTGAATTGCTCGCTTTCGTGGTGGTTCGTTTCAAGTGAATGTGCTATACTAGGCCACCTTATGTTTAATTTGTACGATACTTGAGATATCGCTACATTGTGTTGTTGAGACGTAACACACTACTCAGAAAGTTGTTGAAGACTCTCCGATAGCTCACAACTGGTTTCACTCTTCTTGGGGCTCACCAGATGGGCGCCGTTTCCAAGTTTTCGTCGCTCCTATGTTCTACGTGAACCTAAAATGTGTGAACCTCGCGAACCATTTTAAAAACGAGAAATTTAGTTGCGTCCAGTTGAGTCTTCTGTCAAAACCGGATTCGTGTGTAAACGAGTGTTTGTCGAAATCTGTCTAATTTGGGTTCATGAAGAACATAAAGCTGACGGAAACTCGAAGACTGCATCTACCTGATGAGTCTGAAGAAGGGCGTAACCATTTGTGCGCTTCCGACTTATTTTCAGTGGCCTTATGAGTAGTGTGTTGCATGTAAACACAGTTCATTCCTCATCCACTTTCTGGACAACGAACTGCAATGTACTGAGTGGCGTAGTATAAACGTACAAGACAGTACGTGTCTGGTACGCCAACTTTACGGTAGTCTTTCTCCATTGCAAGATTGTTGTATCTTGCGGCGGCCGTCTATGGGTTACGCCTGCACTGAGCCTGCCAGACTACGCGATAGGAAGGAGACAGCGAACTGGGGACACGGCTGTATTGTCAGGACAAAACATACAAAGCTTCTGAGAAAATATATAGGATGACTAAATGGTCAAATATGGTCGTTCACTTGTTCGTTCTGTACAGCCGATTGCGATGTTCCGGTCCTGAACAGTCTCAGGCCCACTACGCTGGTCGTATGTTGCTAAGCCGCGCTTGGTGAGAGCCGCCAACTCACCTACTTTCCGGACATATCATACCGATGGTGACCTCGGGGATGCGTCACTCTCTGCACATGTGCTTTTTTCCTGTCTGAGCGCGTCCTGACAAAGATATGACATTTTTTGTTTATTGGTGTGTTTGTGCTACTGCTCACTGACACGTTCGTATCGACTCCTATAGTTCTCATAGTACCCTATCAGTAGGTTGTGACTGGGATTGTAGTACCAATCGTTCTACAGTGGATACCGAACCACGAGATGGTTGGAGCGCGAATTTACTAACCGGAAGGTTCGTGGTTCGAACCCAACACCTGCCTCTCGACTTCCCCTGTCTAGGCTTGGGCAACCTGTCAGCATCCCAACTCTCATGCTACCTTCGGGTGGCCTGGGAGTTAGGCAGCTGAACGATCTACGAACCGAGCAGTTCTACCGTTGTGGCGACCCACAATCCAATTACATGAACAACTTTTCAAATTTAAACCCCTCTATGTGAACTTAAGCTTCCTATTTTATGTGCAGTACACTGTCTGTATGGGGATCTGCAGGTAATATTCTCACTATAATACAACCATGTGGCTATACAAGGCAGTCGCAATGTTGGTTTGTCCCTCCCTCCAACCAGTTCTCTAATACCACCGAATTCGCGTGACCTCTTGCTGAGGTTGTAATGTAGAGAGATGCAATAAGGACCATGTCTCTCCCCCACTGTACTTTAATAGACAGAATACTTCGTCATCATTGACACATCATAGCATCACTGCCGTACAACCGTGATTTATTTGAAAGCCTTATTGTAAAGAAAAGAGTTAAGGTGGACGGGGGGAGGGACTTAGTGCTAGCTTGTTAGTGCACAGGCGATGATAACGGCCATAATACAACTCAGAAAGTGTATGTACTGATAAAGGTTTTTAGTTTAGTAGACAGTGGTGGGTTGCAGCACGTATAAAAATAAATACATCGCGAAAATGGGAGCGAGTCAAAAAAAGGGAACTTATCGTATGTGAGAGTTCTTTGGTGAAAGCCCGATGTTCGGTTTCCCTTTGTGTAGGTCCCAGTGCGTCTACGTGGGCGCGTCGGCACATGAGTAGTTGCTACGCTGACTAGGCGGTGCAGACAATCGATGTCTGCTTAATGTGACGTGTTTGTGAGTATGAGAAAAAAGGGGCCTCGCGATCCAGTGAGCGACTGTGAGCTGAACAGTCAAGTATGTGGGTGACCGGTTAGCTACAAGCTTAACACAACCATTCCGGGGTGCATATACCTCCAGACATTCACTCAGGCAATCTGGATAGAAACTAACAACAAGAACGCCACTGACATCGGTTGGCAGCCATATCTTGTAGTGTCTCCAGCCAGGCACAGTGAGGATCACGCGGTCTCCATCCTGGAAGGTGAGTAGCACCGACAGCACCCAAGCGTTTCGTGATCTCCTTCATACTCCTCTGCCAAGTCAAGGGTTGGCCACCTCCCAGACAGAATATTTACGTTCTCGGCTAGATGCTGTAAAATGTGTTTAGGCAGAAAACCTTTTGAAGTCAATCGCAATACAATTGCATGAAGTCAGGGACTCAAAACTCCGCGACCTGCATCGTGATACATCCTAGATCTAGCCGTAACGTGACTGTTGGTATTCCTACGTTGTTCCCCTCCCCCTTATCTGATGACATCTAAATATACTCGAAAGTTCTGGGACCGATTCTCACGACACATCGCTTACTTTATGAACAACGACGGCTTGTGTAAATACACCCTGTTCGTCTCTTTTCGTCTTACGCACGTTATTTTGTTATCTTTTTTCCTTAGATGAATATTCACCTGCAAAATGCGCTACTCTACACCTTTGGGATCATTCTCAACGGTTTGATGTTCGTCGTGGAAGTGCATAGGTCTGGTGGTGAGTCGCCATTTTCGCCAGCTTGACAGAACAGATTTCTTTGCTTTCTGCATTTTTTCATTTTTCTCCTTGTTGTGACTTGCTGAACAGTAGTGCAACTCTGTATCGGTCCCTTGGCTTCCTGCTCCGCCCACTATGGTATATCAAAAGGCAAGGTAGCTCTACACAGCCCTTTATGGAGACAAAGGAAAGTTATTACAACTGTATTTATAGGGTAGTCACAGAGCGTTCGACAAGGTCGTGCCAGAATCTCCGTGAGGGGGCGAGAAGCGTCCAGTCAAGGAAGCTCGCCCCGGATTGGCTGGCATTCTGACGAATCAGGGCATGCCTTCGTTTGGTCCGTATCCTGCACGTGACAAATCCGTCCAGATGATGTGATGTTCGGTTATAAGGGACGGCTGGCCCCCGAACACTCCTGGAAAGGGGTTGAAGGGAACAGAGAAACTCAGTTGCATACTAATTTAGTTTTGACGGGGGACTCATTTAAATCCCAGATGAATCACTTTTGAGCAATTGAACGTGCTACACCAGGCCACCTCATGTTTTCTACGATTTCTCCTGGAAAGGGGTTGAAGGGAACAGAGAAACTCAGTTGCATACTAATTTAGTTTTGACGGGGGACTCATTTAAATCCCAGATGAATCACTTTTGAGCAATTGAACGTGCTACACCAGGCCACCTCATGTTTCACTTTCTACGATTTTCGAGATATCGCGATACATTATATACACTTGACACACTACTCATATCTGGGCCGTCGGATATTTTCAGTAGTCTCATGACGAGTATAATACGTCTAAACTAAGAATTTCTTTTAAGCATGGTCAGACAGTATTTTGTTTGTATGGATTCGAAGTGAGCTCAACTTGAATGAGATGATTGGTCTATTGCTTTCCGAGTTTCGTTTCAAATGCCAGTTTAGGATGTTTTCAATAGTCTGTGGACTAAATAGGTAGTGACTGTCACCTCGATCATATTGGATGACTCATGCACCCTCTGTCCATTAGATCCCTCATTCACATGTCAGGCGATCTTATCGGACATGACAGCTCCCCGATATCGAGCAATCTTTCTCCTTTTCAGTGTCTATATGCCCAGCCATGTGTGGTTGGCTGCTCTTCACAACTGTTTGCCATTGATTCTGGGTCGTACTTCTTAACCTTTTACATGGGTTCTCCATCTTTTTCGGTTCCTTATGCTAGAACACCAATTGCTTTGCCGTTCATTCGCAGTGACTACTAGTCATCGCTGCAGTCGGAAAATGTTGACCATCGTCATCATCACTTTGCCAAGGGGCTAGCAAATCGTTGAGTAGAATTGACTAAAATTTTGATTGCTACAGCTTTGTTTGGGTAGCAGTCTTCACTTGCAGTTGGACAAGATTTTGATGTAGCCTTGATGCTCCAAATGGAATCGAAACATGCGCCGACATCGTTTCCAAGGGCATCTGTTCGAAAGGAACATCTTTCCAGATAGATACGTTTCCCCCTACCTCTGCAATCCGTTCTTGGGGGCGGGGTTAGGAGTTGGGGTTTCTGTTGCCGGATAAAAAATGCTGATCGTGTCGCCCTACGATCATCGTTTATTAGGTTATCACGTGAAAAGTGGACTCGGAACCATGAACGCCTGGTCCTCATTTGAGGAGCTTATCAACTAGACAGATTATCAATAGCTTGCCGTTGTGTCCCACTACCATGTAAGTCATTTTCTAGGTTGGTGCGACGATCCCCGATCCTGGACAATGGAATGGAACTGCTTGAAAGAAAAACTCACTGTTTCGCAGACGATGCTGTGAACGCGAATTTACCTGGAATTGCATTATACGCTTGGTTTGCTCTCACTGCATCATCCAAAAGCTATTTGATCGTTATGTTGGTGATTCGGACAACGGATACTGAAGGTATAGTGGTCTGGCTACCCAACGAGTTACTTTACCCGGAGTGTGTGATAAATAAATAAAAATAATAACGCTAGATTGGGTATACAATAATAAACAGGTCAGATGCAACAGACTCACTGACAATTGTTCTCTTTAAAATAGTTCGTCGTTGGCCCAGGTCAGCGAATAAACAATAATCCAATTATGGTGGTCCAGGGGTCTTCTTCTGAACAGTCCCCACATATAATAGATTCCGAAGATGGTCTGAAATGTTTTGATACCAGAGCTAGCACGAGACTCGCGAGTGACCGCTGCGAGCGCGAGCGAAATCAGAAGAGAGAGTCGAAGCACGTGACCACGTCTGTATTGCGTGAATTCTCTGTACAAGTTTTCGTATTCAAGAAAATGATTATGCAATTGACGAAATACGTGATTTTATGACCACAAAGACACCGGTATCCTCCACTGAGTTAGTCGAGTTTTAGGAAAAAGTAGGCCGTTTTGACCGTCCATTTCTGTCTTTTTTTTAACAGAAGCGTCACCTTGGTGCCACAACTGGTATTACAAACCTGGGTTTGTTTTTCTTGATCACTTTTCAGACCCAGCCTATTGGAATCCATTCAAAGGCTACACTCTATGGACGTGGCTTTTGATTCTGACCCAGTCCTTTTCTGGCATTTTTATGGGTTTTGTAATGAAGTACTCGAACAACATCACACGCCTTTTCCTCATCTCCTCCGCGATGTTGGTGACTACCTTCACTGCAATGTTAGTGTTTGGGTTGCACCTGAACTTCCTGTTCATTGCCTCCTTCCTCCTGGTCTGTATATCACTTTTTCTATATCATCGCTAACCGCACTTCCTGCAGAGGGCTTCCACGTTGCTTCGTTCATCGTTCCATTGGTGGCTCCAATTGCAGAACTGTTTCTGTGATATAGTTAATGCTTAACCTCTGACTCGTATAGCTCGCTATCCGGTTCAGATGTGACTTCTTGTACACCCGATTCAAATAAGGAGTGCTGTTCAAACTTTACCCCTTTTATGAAGCACGGTGGGAGTATTAATCATAATGTTTGTTGCTCGGGGGTAGTTGTGCGTGGAGTTTACGCCACGCACACTATTCATTTCACCTTCTTACCGTTCCGTCAAACGACGTCACTGAAATTTCGTGACTTCATTGGACATTATATGAGGTGATACGTTTTGAGAAAATCCTCTAGTGAATATCTTGTTTGCGTATTTTAGTTAAGCCGCTGTATCGGAGTGGGACGTAACACATGTTTCCAGTGATTTGATGACCAACAGGTTTATTTAATTTGCAACGTGTGAGTCTCCCCAGCGATATCATCACTTCCGAAGGCTGACCAATTTAAACAGGCTCCCGCCGAAATTGACAGTTAGGGTCTGAGTGCTATTCAATCACACTTGCTAATTTAATGTGCAAGCAATTTATGAACAAATGTTCTTCAAAGGTTATAATGCGATTCACTACGGATGAAATCGGAAGGTTCGGGCGTGGGGCTTGGGGTAACGTGAGGTGAACACCCCTCTGTTACAGGCATACCGGATCAAAGGACAAGTTAGAGTTTCTGATGGGCTTGGCATCGTCTACTGGGGACTATATTGACGTCATCACTGACAAAATGACACCGATGTGCAGCACTGACACTTCGCTGCAGTTAACTTGAGGCACCTGGCAGCGGTCACAATGACGTGCACAACTTTCACGCAAAAATGCGACTCAGTCAATCAACCAGACACTGTTAGCCAATGCACTAAGTAGATCGTCAGAGAGGACGGCGTTCTTTCGGATCAGTTCACAGAGACCCTGGCCAAAAAGTTGTGCTGGGTATTTAACCACTCATACTTGGCACAGTTGCATAATTCAAGATGACATACAGCTTCCGTCTATCATCCATATCGCTAGGCATAGTTATCATGTGACGGCGCCCATTAACCGCATAATGCTATCAGGTGCAAAACCTCTATGTGTTGAGTTACAATGTTTCATTTTGTTGTGCATGTGCTCAAACCAAAAACCATCTTGATCTGCGCACATATTTTTGCAGCTCACCAGATTTCATTGTCCGTTGGAGAAATCATACATCTGGCAGAAAAGTCTGATGGGATAATTTCTCAGCATCGCTGAAACCCCGGGGTGCCTAAATGGGGCTCAAAAGCTTGGACTGGTACCCTCAAATTAATTTCCAGATTGCTTAAATCCATTAGGGACACGTCATAGCTGTCGAAAATTCAATTGCATCGTGCGAATACTGAGCGCCCTACATGACAATAACCTCAGCTGCAGTCCGTTCTGCGCGCGTTCTGTCACTTGCGCAGTTACTGAGGTTGACCTCAGGGGTACATGTCCTACGTGACCTGGTTCAATTAAATTTGGCTGGCGGAATTTTGGAGACCACGTGTAGTTCAAATGGTAATCAGTAAACTTCAATCAATAGGCGTGAACTGTTCAGTGAACGCCAGTTTATAGGCCAGATGCACTGGTTCTGCTGCGCTATCTGACACAGATTTTTCCGATGGACGTAGAAAAGGTGCATTCCAAGAGGCTGTTGTCACAACGCCCGAATTTTTTGACGAGCAACCGGAGCCTACAGCCAGTTTTACTCCAGCAGGTACATCTCTTAGTAAGGGTTCGTCCGACCCAGGCCCATGACCACTGACAAATCACGTGATAGTCTTTCTGGACAAAGATCAATCACGGGAAGCAACCTGACTGATCTTAGTTATAGGGTGGCCCCCTTGAGGATGAATACTTTATTGGACCTACGAGTAAGTGACAACGCGTGTGCCCCATGTTTTGATTATGTTTCAATAAAATACTGAAGCTGGCACTCCCTGTTTTGTAGTATATAAGGAAATCGTCACCATGGCAAAAGTTGGAGCAACTCCATTACTAATCAGCCATATTGCAAAAGTCAACGCACTGCATGATAGCATCGTCCAAAAGTGATTTGATATGAAGACCAAAGGAGACGGACTGCTCATCCTGGTATTTTTTGGTCGGAGGAACTAGCCCGTCACGGAGGGAATTCGAGTGGTATTTGTTGGGAGTTGGGGGGCTGGGCTTTCAAAGTTGTCAGTTTTAAGGCAAAGTTCAGAGAGGTGACTGTCTCTATTTCTGGGGACCATCGTATTTCCCAGAGCCCCGGCTTCATTACCCTAGGGTTGGAAGACGTGTAATGGTGATTGTTCTGTGGTTTGACAGTGAATTTCCTTATAACAGAGTCGCTTTCGGTTATCCAAACAATTTGAACTCGGAAGAAAATTTACCGATATCGATGCCTGCGCTTGAGTTTTCCTGAGTCGCTCAACCTATCCTGGCCATTACATCATAAATTTTGATTCATACGAATAGTCTTCCTGTCTCACAGCAAACGAACTCTCAGTTCACTTGACTATGGCGGTTAGAATAACTGATTTACGTCTGTTGGCTAGGATGTTCTTTTGGAGGCCGGAAAAGTTCCTCCTGAACACAAGGTCACGTTGTTAGATTCCAACAGATTCTCTGGTCGATAGCGCCCAAGGTCAGACTACGTGATCTATGCTCTGATTTTGGAAAGTACCTGTTCTGTTGTCCGGTCTTCACTATATAGTTTGGCTGTTCTCGTTCGTTTTCTCAAAACTGTTGCGCTCGTCCGCCATCTTTGTTAAACCCACTGAGACCGAATTACCTTATCATCGCGGCGTGGACTCATTCGTGGCGGTCCGTTGCTGGATGTCCTGGTGTACTCGCCTTCTTGTTTTTCAATTCGAATTGACGCGAAGTAAAGCAACCTTCTTCCAGAACGGGCTACTGAACTCACCACATCATTTGACTTGTTAAACGACATCTAGTGGCGGAATGCCGTCGAGTTACGAATAGACATAAGTCACTGGATATTGAGACCGATAAATGTAGTCCTCCGTCAAGTCCTGGTGTCCAACTTTGACTAGTGTCGTGTGCACTACGTGCTTGAAGGCCGTTTCCTCTCAGTTTCGCCTTACACAAACAACGCAGTCCAATTTCAGTCGCCCTGTACAAAGAGGACCACTGTAGGCCCTTATGGATTGGTTTGCCAACGCCGCCATGATTTTCCCTAAACACCATGTGGCTAGCCTCATGTTCCTCTGAAATATTCTCTGTGAATCACAGCAGTGCGAACCTCATAAAGCTCCGTGAGGATTGTAATTCATGATTTTCTGTAAAAGGCTGATTTCTGAAACATTTGGCCACAAGTAGCTAGTCAGCGCTAGTATCTTAGATCAGCACAGTTCAAATCACGTGCTGTCTGGACGTCCTAGTGACGATTTGTCAGGCTTGAAATGCTTGGCCGAAGGTCTACCTTGTTTCATTTTTTATGATTCCTTGTGGAATAGTTAGTTACGTTAGTCCAAGAAAATTAATGCCACGATATTGCGGCCGAATCCCCATCCCGCTCAGCGAGATTGAGCATAAAAATCTCTTTTAACATCAGTATCGTGATAAAGCCTCTTGGTTCTCAACATTCCAAACATCTTGTCTTCACAAAAAGTAAATTAGCCAGTAATGGCATAGAATGCAAAGCTAACATAACTGAAACCTCATTGTAGTATCTATAGAAGTGAAAAATGGCCACACATAGTGGCATTGGGGTTTTCTAAAGATAGTTGTGGTTACCGGTGGAGTAAAACTTATCCCAAACACAAACTGAAATTATTTCTCTCCAGTCTGTCCTCACACGCCGTTATTATTTTCTAGCTCACGTGTGCTTACTTAAGAACACCACGTTGGGAAAAAGTACTTAAGTGATTGTGGTGGGATTGTGTGGGATAAATTTTACTCCCGGATTTCACTTTATGAGGAAGAGGGCAAGTCACATGCCAGACCAACCACTGCTAGCTGAGATCAGCCCGGTTAAATCTCGAATTCCAGGGTAGGAAACACTACAGTGAACGCAGATGTTCTGCCTTCTGAAGGCAGCTGGAACTAACGAGTGTTTGCCGCCAATGCCAAGTGACGAAGTCACCGAGATCTGGCAATGGTTGGTCGACCAGGCGAGGTGAAGAGTTCCTTGGGGCGGTTGCATGCCAACATCTTCATGCCTCCAAAACCTAGCTTATTCCTTTGTTGATTTTCATACGTAAAAATAGATTGCGTCTCTGAATAGACGCATTAAATCCGCCGGTCAATGAGAACAAACAGAAAATAAGGTATTGTGATGTCGCGATAGGCGCACCTCGTTCCGCAGAACATGCGCCTGTTTCAGATATTGGAAAGCTATGTTTCGTTGACGTCATGCGTCCCTTCTGGTAATAGCTAGCTGCAATCTTTATTTCGTAATAATGACAAAACGTTTCGGCGGGTCGAGGTGGCAGCCGCATCACATCAATCGGTATCGCGTCGTGTCTAGTCACATGGTACTAAAAATGATCCTAGCGAGACCGCGTCTGAGAGCGAAGAGTTAAGATGCTCGCAGCAGCTGGGCTAGCTACCGGCGTCACCCTACTGCCCTCAACCAAATAGCCAAATGGAACACAGTAACCGGACAACCAAGGAATAGCTGGCTGAAAACGAGGTGACAGGAAGGTAAGGATGTCCACATTGTTGATCGCGAATCGTGCGTCGACCCAGACAACCACAGGTGTTGTCCCATATATGTTGACCTTCCAGTCTATCAGGAAATCTAGTTGTGGCCATCAACACGCACGTCTACGGAGGAGCTAGGGTGGGAAGGGCGAGAGGTTAGGCCCCTCTGCTGCCTTTCGGGAATACACTAGGCAGACATAGCTAATCACCATTTGTGCGAAATTTGAGCATAAAGATCATTAGAATCCCGGAAGGAGTGAACTGGGGTAGCGAAATTATCTCATTAGAATCCCGGACGGAGTGGACTGGTGTAGCGAAATTAGGGCAGTGAGTGACAAGACATATTTCCCAATAATGATCGTCAGGAGAAGGCTTATACAACACATGGCGGTCAAGAATCAAGTATAAAGAAGAGTAAACGGCGACCATCCTCGAGAGTGCGGTGGTACGCCTGAAAATGTGCCTAATAAATAATGATCGTCAGGAGAAGGCTTATACAACCCATGGCGGTCAAGTATCAAGTATAAAGAACAGTAAACGGCGACCATCCTCGCGAGTGCGGTGATCGCCTGAAAATGTGCCGAATAAGCTAGGTGCTGAGGCTGACTTAGCTGAGGAGAAT